CCATAAGACTGTTTTAAATAAATAAAGTTGCATATAGAAATATATATTCAATACATCACACAAAATGGGAAATAGACTTTTGGCTCTATTAAAAAAATGTAAACCTTCCAACTGTCACGGTTCTTCCAGGAATGGAGGCACAGCTTTCTAGAGAACTGATCAGCTGATTCCTAATCTGGAACAAGTTTGCAGCAGGTTAAGGTTACCATGGCAATGGACCCCTGTAAAAAGAAGGGTAGGGTTAAGCTTGAACTTAACTTGATAAGGAAAAGTCCTGCTTCATAGTACAGTCCTCAGGTCTGCCTAAATCCCTGAACCACACACAACTAAAAGAAAATCTTTAATCAAAACAAGCTAACTACCATGCAGCTAGTGCAAAATCCTGAAAAGAACATTTTTCAAGCCTTTGCATGTTATTACATAAAATACATCCGGGTGTAAAAGCAATACAACAAATTTTACCCTCAACCTTTGAAATCTTATGTGGTTTTTACATACCACACAGACTACCTTCTGGTGTGAAATTGGTTCCAAGAAAACATAAAAACCTTGGTAAACTTTTCCCCTTCTCAAAAATAAAGTCTCTTTGCATTTCTTTCCCCTCTTCAAGTTTTTGTCTTTACTGGTGTGTGAATTCAAAACAAAACCCAAATCTCTTACAGTCACAGGCCTCTCGTTACACTCAATAAAACAGTGCTCAGTTTCCCACCTCTCTTGGGAAATTTGCCGTGTAACAGTCATCCCACAAACCGTAAGGTCTCCTCAGCACACACTCAGATGTACATGACAGTGTTAATTTCCTCAGTCACACCATAAAGACTGTGTGCTCAGCTATAACTGCTCAGCACACCAAACTGCACACAAATCGTAACTGAGCTCTTCTTTATTAAGCTGGCTGTAACCTCTCAGTCTGTGTGCAAGAGAGTCTCAAGGTCCCAGCAGGCTACTGCATAACAAGAGAGAGGTGGGATTAGTGAATGTACGACACCTGTGCCGATCAGCCCTCCCTCAGACCGCTCCCTGAGCAAAAACCACAACCTGCCACTATAATCTGCCTTTATGATGAACTTTATTTTTTGTTTTGTTTTGTTTTTGCTGTTTTTTGTAGCTTAGAGTTGGAGGCATGTCTGTTTTAATCTGGCATGTCCGTGGGGTGGGCATCATTTTGCAGACAACAGTTAGCAACAATAGTTATCTCAACACA